CATTCAAAACAGTAATACAGAAGTTACAGTAACAAAGGAGAAAAGTAGCACTTGATCAATGTAATTGTAAAGAGTTTCTAAAGATAAAATGAAAAGGTTATTGTATAAATTTGGGAAGAAGGTCAAGGAGAGAAATAGCTATGCTCTTTCTAAGAGATGAACAAAAAAGCTCAAACTATGTTTTCATACGTTCTGTAAAGCGACGTTCTCAGGAAGAGAATTGGGAGAAATACTACAAAATAAATGAGAACGGAACTCTAATAATGCGTGATGCCTAATGTAATGGGGAAGGGCAGTTGGCTCAAAGAAAGGCAAGCTGAACATGTTGTTTCTATGTTCCTCCCAGTCACTGTAGGATGTTCTAAGTACTAACAAAGATTAAATGTTTTAAACTTTTCTTACAGAGTTAATAAAACTGAACAGGAAGAGGGCTATAAGCCTTAACTCCTGTGGCTTCCTGAGGGTAATAAATACAGTTTTAGAAAGTCTTAATGGAAGCTCTGACTTTTAATGCACTTTTAGATTTTTAAAGGGCTGTGAGTTCAACAATTCTTGTTGAGTGTTTGCACACGTGTGCTTAACATGCTAGGACTGACTGCACTTACAGTGAAGAGCAGTTGAGTAATTGAAGCAGGGTGTAAGAGGTCACCGTTGCACTTCCTGCATTGTGTACTTCAGCCTTGGTTTGCTCCAAACTACAGAAGTGCAGAAGGATGACCCGAGGGGAAACTGCCTGTTCAGAGCAATGTTTACTTCATTTTGACACCTTCATTCCTGAACCGTGTGCATCAACATGTTCTTGTCCATAAGAAAAGTCAAACGGAAAGCCTGCTTTCCTATTTTTTGTCAATACCATACCATCCCCAACGCTGTCTGCAAAATTAGTGTATAAAGGAAGGTGTACTAAAATATCTTTTTGCTGTGGTAGAGACTGTAGACTGGGGTCATGTGTGCTACGCATTTTGCCTTCCTTCAGAAGGAAAGTGGTGTCGTAGGCTCTGGTAAAGGATGAAAATATATTCCTTGGCGGAAGACTCCAAATCATGTAAGATCCTCTGCAGGGGAGCTTGGCTTTTTCACTGTTGTTTGAATGACTTTTATGAACTTAGTGTTTAGGCAGAACACTGTGTATATTTTTTTGTTCTTCTGATATGCAAAACAGTCTGAAGGTTTCCTGGTTTTGTTCAACTGGGCTTTTGCATACTTTCGCCATTTTCAAAATTTCAATGAAATGTGCAAATGGTACTGCATGTAATACTATCTGAAACAGAGGCACAGCAGATAAATCCTGTAGTATCACCGTGCATTATAGCACTGAGCAAGAACGCGTGAATGTATTCAATACTGTTTAAAGGCATAAGTTTTTCTCCTTACCTGAGTAATACTGTTGTAAAGGTTATATTTGAATTGGCTTCTAGAATTTGTTTCAGCTTGTATCATTTGTTATTTGAGGATGCGGCAGGAGGGAAGTTACTTTATTTCATACACACAGGACAGATGTTTGCTCTGTATTGATTAAGACTCATTTTCAGTAAGGTATGATGACAATGGTAGCAGCATATAGTCTAGCTGAATAGGCAGCTAAGAGGAAAGTAATAAAGATCTATGTTTATGTGTTTCTGAGGTTGTTACTTTAGATGACAGCTGTCTTATGTGAGATGGTAGACGCAAATTATTTTCTGAAGCTTCACTGATCAGAGTTTTTTAATGTATTTGATAATTTTAATGGTGAAGATGCATCTTTAAGTTGTTTGAATGTTGAATATTCAAATGTGATTATTTGCAGTTTTATCTTGTAGCATGGCAGTGCATAATGTAAAATTTTCCGTTAAATATTTATTGGAAATGTAAGCAGGTTTGTATTTGAAGTTTACTCATTTCAAAAGTAAACCTCAGGACAGTACTTGGGGAACCAGGCTGCACAACTGGTATTAACACTCCTGCTATTAACCTCCACATTAGTGGTTTATTTCTTAAAGGTCAAGTTAACAATTCTGAGAAATGAAATTTCCTTGAGGTGTGCTGTATAGCATAGCTAATAACAGAATGTGAAAAAGAATTTAGTCCAGTTTAAGAGAAAACATTAAATCCATATTAATTTACTGGAAGCTTGTTAAAATAAGAAGGTAATACTCTGTTTATGTTGACAGCTGAAAGGAGTGAATCCTTTAAACAGGTCTATAGTAAGTAATTACATATAATGTCATAGTTGCCTAAGGTGATTCTGATCTTTTCTTGAAAACAAAACCACAGTACAACACATCTATCTGTGTAGCACTATTCTTGCTTTGATTCGTGAATTGTATCAACTTCAAGTTACTTTGGGCACTGAATTTCACTAGGTTTGCTGGATTATAGCAAATCTTCAATTTATACGAGAAGAACAGAAGAGAAATAAGTTGATTCTTATCTCGATATAAGTGGGTTTGGCCTTTGTTCTGTGGAAACTATAGCTCTGGATCAGTCCCTGGTAAACAGAGTTACAACTTCATCACCTTGCTCACGCAAGCAACTGTTTGTCCACAACAACCATTTTAGTGTATTTATCTGATGAATAGAAAGAAAAGAGAATTTACCTAAAAATTGCACAGACCCAGTGACAATGCACAGAATATTTTCCTTCTTGTCAGCTGTTTGACAACTGGGAATATATTTGTATAATTATGACAGCTTTTACTCTGTTCTTAAGCTCTTTGATGATTTTACCATTCCTTCATGCTGTTCCTAACCAGATTTCTCAAACAGTGCTTGAAAGAAGCTTGTTTATGAAGACTGGTGGATTGTTTTTCTTGGGAAGTCATTATTCTAGTTCTGATTTTGTTACTTGTATGATATGCTGGGCAGTAATTTTTAAGACATCAAACATGGGCGAATCTAAATGCTCACAATCGTGTTTGGAGATGCTTTGCCTTTCAGTGGACATTTGTGTAAAAGCCATGAAACAAGCTTCACTGCTACTTTTGGTCATTTTTAATATATTTTCAGAACTAAGGAGTAGTAATGCCTCACTGTCCACAAACTGCTATTTCCAACTTTTTTGTGTGTGTCACTCTTCTTTTTATGATGATGTACTTGCATATAAATATAGTATTTGGTGTGCAACAGCGATTTATTTGGTGTTGATAGAGGTTTTTCTGTTGTGTAATTGGACACTAAAGGAACATGAAAAATCTCAGTTTCTCCTTGTCTAGCTGAGCCAAAATGTAACTAAAAAATTTTCTGTAGAGTAGTTAAGCCTTCTTCATGATGGATTTCTAAAATCAATCTAAAACATGTGTTGCATTGCTCTGTGTCCTTTCTTGAGCTATGAAAGTAACTCATCGATTATAGAACAAGTTGAAGTGATGGTGGTTTGTTCCTGATAGTGGCTTTGTGCAGTTGTTTTTACCAGGTTGTCCAATGTTGTACCAGTATGTAAGTCCACAGAATGTGTTTACAAAAACCCTAATATAATTTTAGAAACACAGTAACTACTAGAGATTTTAGTAATCTCTCTGCACAAGATGTTGCAGCTCTTCACTTACAAGAGCTTTTTTTAAACATAAATAATTGCTCTTCACATTTATTTCAGGATTACATTTGGTTTAAACTATCGAAGCCAAGGTCGTCCTTAAAGCCAGTGTTTGATGGTGAGATCTAAGGGTGTTTTGGCTTATGGATATATGATGACTTACCAAAAGGTAGCTTGTTTTTTAAATTATTTTATACTGAATGGAGATGGCGTTAAGATTTACAGCAGTGTAGATAAACTTGAATTTCACTGCCCTGGTCATGAAGAATGTACTTACTGTTGGGACAGCAAAATTTGTGAAAGGAGAGATGAAGTAAAGGAGAGAAGAGAGAGTGGAGCTGTCAGCAGGGATGTTTGGGAGTAGGCAAGGTGGGAATCTCTTCTTCTTTGACTCCCTT